GAGAAGCCAGCCGGTTATAGTCGAAGTACTCCTATGTGGTAGTTGATTAACGATATCGCATGTTGATTGATTGCAGAAAATAAATTTTTTGCATTTAATCCAGTGTGACAAAGTCTTTCAACTCTTGATATAAGTTTGCTCTGTACTTCTTCAAATGAGCTAGGTGTTGGAATTCCTCTGCTATCTTCTATTATTCCTAAATATTTGTAAACACTAATACCTTTTAGAAGAGTAGCAGTATCTTCACAACACGTATCATTTGTGGCTGACTTCTCTTTGTTAATCTCTAAGCCAATCACCTCTAAAAATTCCTTTGCCTCGCCTGTCATAGCACTCAATGTGGAGCTGTCTTTTGCAAGGAGCTTAAGATCATCAATAAACAAGAGATGATTAGTAGAATGGGATTCTGCATCTGTTTGTACTGTCACTTTTGTGTATTTTTCATTAAGCTTTTGGCTTAATGGATCCATACACAAAACAAACAACAATGGTGACAAACTATCTCCTTGCAGAATCCCTCTATCAATCTTCTTGCTCATGATTTTTTCAGGCCCTACTGATACATCAATTTTTCATTTTGATATTTTTATCTTGATAAATTTTATGATCCAATCAGGTAAATTAAGGTTTTGAATGCATTGAGTTAAAAAAGCATGATCTATTGAATCATAAGCATTTTTAACATCAATCCATGTTGCGTTAAGATTATTTCCATACTCTTTATTTAAGGCAATATTCAGAAGAGCCTGCTCTTTCGCTCTCTGATGACCTCTAACTGACCCAACTGGTTCTCTGCAAGAAACCCTCGCCTTTCCACTTCAAGTTAAACGACTTTCGTTACACACTTAGTCGTACACTTGTAGAGGTTGGACATACAAGTGATTGGCCTGTAGTCAGAGCCTCTTTGTGGAATTCCTTTCGGTATCAAATACGTAAGCCCGCAGTAAAACCAATCAGCTTGAGTTGTTCCATCTAAACATATAACTTTCACAATATCATAAATATATTTGTGAAGAGTTGTAAGTTTCTTAATGAAAAAATTGTAAATACCATCAATTCCAGCAGCTTCGAAATTGGGAAGCCAATTAATGATATTTACAAATTCTTCAAGTGATGGAAACGTAGTCGGAGGATTATCTGATACAAATGGAATCAAATAATCATCGTACGTGACCGTGTCATCATTTTTGTTCCACATGGTAGACCAAAAACTCAATATTTCATCGCGGCTAACCACATGCTCGAATTCTACACGCTCAGATAACCCACAATAAAATCGACTTCAGAAAAGCTCAAACATACGTTTCTCTTTCGGAATTGCTTACTACTTTCATGCATCGTAATTTTTTTCTCGTAAACATTCAGAGACTCATTCTTCTTAACTAAAGCCTCAGAAATATCAGTTACGCTGCTCAAGTTTAAATTAAACTCTCGCATGATTTTCTTAAGGCTTTTTGTTTCCTAAGCGGAGAGTTTTTCCTGCTTACGAGCCTTCTCGAGAAGATCTTTGGAAAGTACTAACTTAGAGATTTTACTTTCTATGTTTTCCTTCCAAGCGGATCTAGACTTCTCTTTACGTGTTGCCTCGTCATAGCATACCTGCGCGGCTTGTATGATATACGCGGCTTCCGTAATTGACTCAGGTACATTAGCTCCGGCATATTCACCCACTACTCGATAAATGAGATCCAGAACTTTACTATCAATCAATTCATTTGGATGTTTTCTAGTTCGGACCACCACTTTTCCAATTTCGTTCTCCGAGATTTCTTTGATTTTGCTCAAGAATTTATCTCTCAGGTTTATGAACTCCGTGGTGTCGGTCAAGGTGCATGTATCAGCGAGACAAGTGGCGATTCTACGTCGCTTTCCATTCTCTTCTGATTTTACTTCCTTTCCCAGCTCACTTTGTGCCAATTTTTTTAACACTTCGAGAGTTTCAGTGCAGCCGAATTTCTCATTATAGTACTTGTGAAGCTCTGTCCAGCCATTTCTTGGCATTCTTTCAAACCTTTTCTGTACTGCAAAAAAAACAATTAGAGGCTATTCCTTCGGGTCGGCTGTTACGGAATCGAATATCGTCCGCAACGCCATTAGCCTGTTACCTTCCGGAATAGCTAGAGTACAGGGGCTTGTCATGTCGTACGATGGCTCGCACGCAGGGACTTCAACTGAAGAGGTAACTGGTGCATTAGGCGAAGGTAAGGGGTCAAGCCCATTATTTTGCATTTTACTGCATGTTTGGCTTGGTGGTGGAGGTGTTATTGTTGTGTAGGAGGAGGAAGGTAAGGAAATCGCCGGTGGGTGTAGCTAACATTTTTGTATCCCATATCGCTTTTCTTTACCTCATCAGCGTCGTTTGCAGCCTTTATTTTGGTATTTTTCGATACTTCGCTGCTAACATTAGCCTTTCTACCCATTTAATAATTTACTACAATAATTAAGCAATTTAAAAATGATTAAAATATAGAGTTTTATATATAAAATGTTTTTAAAATTTATTATAAAGTCTAAATAATATATGAGTATAGGTCTTAAACATAATAGTGACCTAAAATTTTTTTTAAAAACGGTCGCTGACTAAAGTGTGTATATTAGAACTTGAAACTCGAAATTAATTGTTTAAATATGTTTTTTTGCGTTCTGGTGTTCTTTCTTTATTTCTAAACCCAATTAAATTAGAATTTTCGATTTTTTAATTTTGCTTTTAAATCTAATTTTTTATATCTAAGATTTTTTTTAGATTCTATTTTTTTTTCATTCTAGAAAATTCTAAATAAATTATAAAACAATTCGATTTTCACGAGAGATCTTCTTTTTATTTACTCTTTTACAGTTTTTTTTTCATTTTATATATTGTTAGAATTAGTAAATATTATTTTAACTAAAAACCAGCAAAAACAAATATAAATTTTTCAAGCAGTTATTTACCGCTTAAATTATAATTTTAAATTTACATTGATACTACGAAATTTTATTTAAAAAAAGAAAATATCAGTTTAAACTGACACAACCATCAACTTATAATCATTCTTCTAAATCATTTAAATATTTTTTTGGGTTTCAATGGAGTAAGCGAATATAGAATTTCAATATAGTTTTACGCGTTTAATTAATAAAAGTACTGTTTCATTAAGATTATAGATTTTTTTCATAAATTTTTACATGTACGTTTTCTAGATAAACCACCCTGTTATTTAAACTACGTTTGTTAAATCGATTTAAATTTTTTGAAAAATTGAAAAAGATAATTCATACATTATATAAGCTTTAAGTTAATTTAATTAAGAAATGCGAACTCTATTAATGATATTTTTGTAATCTAAATCAAGATTAAAAACGAATTCTATAGCAGTGAAAATATTTTTAATAGTAGAATATAATTTTAAAGTATAATTTAATAAGTAAAATTCTACATTGATTTTTACATATTTTAATTGCTTATTTGTATATTGCTCTCATATTAATAGCATATATTATAACGTAGATTTATATCATTCCTTGATGTAAAAATCTATTTACAGTAAAAATAAAAAAATAAAGATAAATACATAATCTAGTGTTGTAAAAAGATTAAAGAATGAATATTTGTTTATTGAAGCTCGTTGATTGTTTTACGTTTTCATTCCTTCTAGAGGCAAAATAAACAATTATTTGAAAGCTTTTAGGAATTATTTAGAACTGGGTTTAGGACACATGCAATCGGTCTAGATTTGTTTTGAGCACACCCCGCAAAAAATCATCGGACTATATCATTTTTATTCAAGATCATTATTCATCCTTTAAGTTACAAATTTAAAAGTCTTAAAAATTTAAGATATTTAAGAAATTTAAGAATAAAAAACAATAATATGGAGCTGAGTATGAATTATTTTGAAAAATTCTACTAGAATGCATAAAATTATAATTTAAATATAAAATATTCAGAGAGGACACCAATTCGCTAGTAATAAGAAAATATCCCTATCATTTTTTTAAAATATTCATTTTTTTGTATCAATGGCTTCAAATGTTTAGAAAACTGTATATGTCGTCTCTATGTATAGGATTATTAAAGCGTCACCTATTATGTTTGAAAAGTGAACTTTAAAACGAATATATTAATGTCCAATGGTTATAATATCAACTTTACTCTGAGAGACCTTGTTTTATTACCGATACAAAATACTAAATTTCTGCTTATATCGAAAAAAGGCTATGATATAAGCCGTTACAACATATTCTACAAAAAATTAATGCAAAAAAGTTTGCAGAAAATTAAGATACGATGTTCTTTAATCATACATTAGTATTATTTAATTATTTCCACCTTTTACACGTATGTTATACAATATCTGACCAGATACAAAGATTCATCTAAAATCATCGATTTATTGCATATTAAGATTACTTTGAAACCACGTTATACTTGTTTTGAATAAAAGTAAAAGGTTTCCGAAAATATGAATTAAAAAGCGAACGTAGCCAAATCTATAAGTTATACTATTTAAAATCTAAACAAACTTATATGTTCATATGGTTTTATTTCCATTGTTTTTTAAGGAATAAAACCCAGTTAATTTATAAGGTATTGCCAATTTCAAAAAAAATATTGTTATTTTCTCTTTTGTAAAATATTAGGAATCTTTCATGATTAAGGATTATAGTATGGGTAAATCGAGCAATGTTTGTACATAATTGATTTAAAATTATGACATAGTTTTTAGATAGACTACCTGCATCTATAATTTTTGTAATATCTCTTCAATAATTTCATTATATATCTTTTTATACTAGAAAATATTTGGAAAAAGGTTTATACAGCCAAGTTCCTAATTGTCCAATACTATTTTTGTTCATTCAATGTGTAAAATAATGTTGATGTATCTCACATATCTGTATCAATTATGAATAACCACACTTACATATTACTTGAACTATTTTTTTTCGATTAAAATTTTAAAGTAACCGAAATTTTAGAAAATGAAATTCAAATTTATATTTAAATTTTATCAGTTTTCGCATTGATAGTATAGTGGTAGTACATTAGCTTCCCAAGCTAACGGTCCGGGTTCAATTCCCGGTCAATGCATTTTTTTTATCAATTATATGATTGATTTTATAAGACAGAATTTTAATGTTAAAAGATAAAAGTTAAATAGAAAAAAATTTTACACGTTAAATAATTTTATAATAATATTAAGAAACTTTTAAAACTAAATTAAATTTGATTTTTTGTCACTTTTTCCACCTCGATATGTGGTAAATTTGGCATTGAATATAATATAAGATCAGGGAAATTTAAATTATGACAGCCTCTAATATATTTTATATATAATTGTATAAGATGTTTCAATTCGTAATCCATCATGAGATACAATGAAATGTGAGCAACTTTTTGCAAATCTTAATATATTTGCTTTTTTTTAAATAATTTATATCTATTCTATACGCATCGAGAAAAATTAAAAATCAAAAATATTCTCAAATATTGAATCTATTTCTGTGGTGTTTATCTTAGAAAAGTCAAACGTTTCTACTAAATATTTAAATCTAGCAGCCAAACCCATGCATACAAGTGAAAGACTTATAAAATGCCCGATTTCTATATTAGAACTTCCTAATAAATATATATCTTGAGATAACACTTGAATAATATATTTATCTTTTGTATTTGGTGTTTCTTTAAACTTTTTAATGAATCGTTTTAAATTATTCAATTTTCTAAATAAAAATGTATTTTTATGTCTATTTTTTGATTTATATATGACTTTTGACAAAATTTTATATTCAGTTTCTAAAGTACTATTAATATTTGAATTCATTGAAGGGGTTTTACAATATATATAAAAACGAAAACGAATAAATTTTTTAAAAATTATATTTTTTAAGTCCCATTTTTAATGGTAGATGCAGCAACAGTTTTTGCTAAAAATTTAGATGAAGAATATATTGAAGAAAATACAGTTAGAATACAAAAACATTCTAATGTATTTTATAATCCTGCACAAAGTTTCAATAGAGATATTTCAATAGAAGTAATAAAAAACTTTACTAAAAATATAGAATCACCAAAAATATTTGAAGCCATGTCCGCCACTGGTCTTAGGGGTCTAAGATATGCTAAAGAATTAAAAAACGACTCCAAAATCTATATGTGTGATATTGATAGAAACGCTATAAATTCAATTCAAGAAAATATAAATTTCAATAAAATTGATCTAAATAAAATAGAATTAATTGAAGGAGATTGCAGAAAAATTATGATTTCAAAACCTGATTACTTTGATGTTGTGGATATCGATCCATTTGGCAGTTGTACCCCTTTTATAGAAAGTGCTATAATTTCAATTAAAAACAATGGATTATTGTGTCTCACATCAACTGACATAGCAATAATATCAAATAATCCTTTAAAATGTTATATGAAATATAATACCGTTACATATAAAACGCCTGCTTTTCATGAATTGGCACTTAGAACCTTGCTTTCAGTTGCAAATAGAATAGCTTCTAAACATAGTATAACCATTGAACCACTTTTATCAGTTTCTGTGGATTTTTATATCAGAATTTTTTTAAGAATAAAGAAAAGTAATCACAAGACACGCGAAAACATTTTGAAAATTTCAAATTATTTTCTCTGTCACTGTTTTAATTATTTGGAAGTCCCTTTATTTAATAAATCAGATAAATTTCGCAGTAAAAAAGTACCAAACAATATTTGTAATATTTGTGGTTCAGTATTTAATTTGGCTGGGCCATATTGGAATTCAAATCTTCACGACAAAATATTTGTTGATGAAATGTTAAAAAAGATAAATGAAAATTCATTAAACGAAAAAAGAATGATTGGATTTTTAAGATTTATTAGTCAAGAAATAGATACATTTTTATATTATTCAATACCTGCAATATCATCATATATAAAAACATCATGTGTTCCTTTATCTAAAATAATATCTGCTTTATTCAATTTAAATTATGAAGTTTCGCTTACGCATTGTTCATTGAAATCTATCAAAACAAATGCTCCTTTAGATATCATTTATAATATATTTTTGAAATATTTCAACATTAATCGTGATTATATTAATTTAATTAATACCCTGGAAATATCATTTGAAGAAAATAAAAAAACTAATGAATTGATAACCAAGAATTATTATAAAAAATTGTTTTATAGTAATCTAGGACCACTTTCTAAACCAAAAAATTAAAAAGTATTTTATTAATCCTTTTCTATTGAATTCTTGATAAATTTAATTTCTTTCCTAATTCTTACATTTATAGTTTAGCAGCAAAAAAATATTGCGGTGTTTTAAGCAATGAAAGTAATTCTTTAAAAGTTTTTTTTTAATATCTTCTTGCATCTAAATTCTATCTATACACTTAATCATTAGCAGATTATAATCATTAATTACATTCATAAAATATTATCTCTTCTACACACTTAAAGGATAAAATACTCTTAAAAAAATTTAAAATAGGCAAATTAAATATCAAAATACAATGATTTTATTTAGATTCACACTTTACATTTCTAAATTTTCTATATTGAATATAACTTATATGTAATAGAATATAGTGTAATACCCAATAAAAAGAAATAAATTACCACAATTAAACAATAATAATAAAATTTAACTAAAATACACGTTTAAAAATAAGATGATTTTTATGATAAATTTAATGACAAATATTTTGGAAATATGAAAATTAAAAGATATGAAACCAAAAAATGATGGTTTAAAATAAATTTAATATAAAAATAGAAATACAGATAAATTTTTATAAACCACAAGAAATATTTAAAACTAAATATATTTTACTGATAAAAACACAATATAAATGGTTACAGGCTTAGATAAATATCAACATACAAATGACTATATATTACTTCAACCTAGTATTTAGTAATTATTTTGTCTTTCTTTTCCTCAATAAAATCATTGTTTTCTTATCTTCTTTCATGTTTTTTTAAATTTCAAATAAAAAATTTATCTTTCTTTTCCTAAAAAAATATAATTTTTTCTTGTAACTTCATTGATATTCTTAAAGAAAAATTATTTTTTCTTAGATAATTTTTGAATTCAAAACCAAAAAACATTCATTTATTTTTCTATGTTTGTTGAATATCTGAATTCCTAGAAAATAAAAAATATATTAAATCGATAAGCTGCCCTTCTCAAAATGTTTAAAAACTTATTTGAAAATGAAATATTGGAACCAAGACTTACATATAGAAAAATCACGGGAGTAAACGGTCCTTTGGTGATTTTAGATGGCATTAATTATTTAAAATATGCTGAAATGGTAAATCTTACTCTTCCTGACGGTACAGTGAGATGCGGCCAAGTTTTGGAGGTTTCTGGAAAAAAGGCCGTCGTACAGGTATTTGAAGGAACAAGTGGTATTGACGTTAAAAGAACACAGGTAACATTTACAGGCGATACACTTAAACTACCTGTTTCTGAAGACATGCTTGGGCGTGTTTTTAATGGAAGTGGAAAAGTTATAGATGGGGGACCAGATATTATCCCTAGTCAGATTTTGGACATACAAGGACAACCTATAAATCCACAGTGTAGAATTTATCCCGAGGAAATGATACAAACAGGTATTTCTGCTATCGATGTTATGAATACCATCGCTCGCGGTCAAAAAGTGCCTATTTTTAGTGCTTCAGGTTTGCCACATAATGAAGTCGCAGCACAAATTTGTAGACAGGCCGGTCTCGTTAAAAAAAAAGGTGTTATTGATTCAAGTGAGGAAAATTTTGCTATCGTTTTTGCTGCCATGGGAGTGAATTTAGAAACCGCTAAATTTTTTGAAACAAGTTTTAAAGAAACCGGTTCTTTTGAAAGAACGGTTTTATTTTTAAATCTGGCCAACGATCCAACAATAGAAAGAATTATAACTCCTAGATTGGCACTTACAACAGCGGAATATCTCGCATATGAAACTGAAAAACATGTTCTTGTAATTATGACTGATATGAGTTCATACGCAGATGCTTTGAGAGAAGTAGGAGCTGCTAGAGAAGAAATACCTGGTAGAAGAGGGTACCCTGGTTATATGTACACAGATCTAAGTACTTTATATGAAAGAGCTGGTAGAATTGAAGGTAAAAACGGATCAATAACTCAAATACCGATACTTACTATGCCTAATGATGATATAACACATCCAATTCCAGATTTGACAGGTTATATTACAGAAGGACAAATATATATCGATAGACAGTTACATAACAGACAGGTATATCCACCTATAAATGTTTTACCATCACTTTCAAGACTGATGAAAAGTGCTATCGGAGAAGGTATGACAAGAAAAGACCATGGAGATGTTTCTAACCAACTTTATGCCAAATATGCTATTGGAAAGGATGCCCAGGCAATGAAGGCAGTAGTAGGAGAAGAATCCTTGAGTAATGAAGATAAAATATCAATCGAATTTTTAGAAAGATTTGAAAAAGAATTTATTGGCCAGGGACATAATGAATCTAGAACGATTGAAGAATCGCTTGATTTGGCTTGGAGTCTTTTAAAAATATTTCCAAGAGAGATGCTTAATAGAATACCTTCAGCTATTCTTGATGAGTACCATTCTAAACCTGTTAACACTGACATGACTGAAGAATAAATGTTTTAAAAATATTTTATTTTTAATTTTAGTAAATGATTCTGAATCTTTTAGAAGTAAAATGACTGAAGAATAAATGTTTTAAAAATATTTTATTTTTAATTTTAGTAAATGATTCTGAATCTTTTAGAAGTAAAATGACCAAATAATAAATGTTTTAAAAATATTTTATTTTTAATTTTAGTAAATGATTCTGAATCTTTTAGAAGTAAAATGACCAAATAATAAATGTTTTAAAAATATTTTATTTTTAATTTTATTTTCTAAAATTATTAAAACATAATAAACTGAAGAATTTTTTTAGAAAAAATTGCATTTTAAATTATAAAGTTACGTTCGGTTTGATTTCTTTTAATAACTTTCTTAATGTTTGAGTAATTTTATTTATAAGGAAGATTTTAAAGTTAAAAATATGTCTATCATCTTCAAAAGATTTTTGAAGTT